GTTTACGATTACTTTTACATACAACTAAATGTTTCTTTTTAATGTTTTATATGAAATGAAAAAAAAAAGAGAGAGGGAGAGAGAGAGAAGGGGAAGGGGGAGAGAGAGAGAGAGAGAGAGAGAAGGGGAGGGCAAGGGAAGAATAGCTTCTATGGCTATTTATATTATTCTATTGGCTATATGTTACTCTACACCTCTTAAGAGTTAAATTAAGTTGTTTTGTGTCAATTATATACTTATAATTAAATATCATTAGTAATATATTTCAACGATTATAAAAAATGATAATTATCAAAATAAATACACTAAAAATGTTACATGCATAATACAAAATATAGAGATTTTTCTCTAGAAGAAAAAGTAATTTATTAGTTTTATACGTATATATGTATATGTATATATAATTTATAAATATTAATCAATCATTTATAATAAACGTTAATTAAATATTATTTAACTTTTGTCTGTAACATATATATTTTCTTCCTAAATTTATTGCTTTAAAATGTTAATATTTTCATTATGAGTTATATACACAGAGTGTATTTTATAACTTTCTTAATAAAATCATCTACAATAGATTCTATTAGCACAAGCTTTTAAAAATATAATATTTTACTCTGAAATACATTTTTTTTGTTGTCGCTAGAAACATTTAATAAAATTTGAAACTTAATACTACAAATATGAATGAACATTACGAGTTTCGGTATATTTCAATGATAAAAAGGAAAGAGTGTACATATGATACACCAGAGGGCAGTAGGAATCAGGAAGTATATTGCATCCTCTTTCGGAAACATCTAGAAACTGAAACGCAAGTTCATGATCGATAGAAGCTAAAAGAAGAAATATGTATTTCCTTTTTTAACTACGAACGGTATAATAAATGAAAACTTAATTTCTTTTTATAATTAAACAATATAAATATGAAATTTAGGCATTAAAATATTAAATAAACCGATAATACATTCTTATTTATAATTGATAGGGATGTATTATATTTTACTCCATCCACACAATAATACGTTAATGTAAACATACACGTGTAGATAGTTCAACAAATATTCCATGCATTATAAATTGTTCAAATATAGGTATAACTTATATTTCAAGTTATGCATTTGAATAAATATTCGCAATTAAAAAATTTATATTGAATATATATTAAGGTTGATAATATCTTTTAATTTTCTTCGAGCTCACAGCATCTCAAGAATACAAATTTACCCATGGCTAATAAAATAATTATTTTTAATAAATTAATATGCATATTTAAGATGTTATTGATTCAAAAGAGGGTAAAAAAAAGAACATTTATTTGAAAACAAAATATTATAATGTTATATTATATTTGTATACTTTTTCGTTACTTCCCTATAATAATCAAACACACATTTACTGACATGTCTGCACTTATCCATAGAAGCCAAGAATTCGTTTTGAGAAAATCGGCCGATGCTATGACAGCATACAATATCTTTGTTAATACTGTCAAATGCATACGTAAATTCTGCTCTTGCATCCTGTAAATAAGTTAATTATACTAAGAATAAAATATTTCTTAAGAAAAAATACTTATCTCATTATTTCTTATTATTTAAATACTTTTAATTGTGAGCTGTCAGGATCCATGATTATTTCCCCTGTTTCTTTTTCTATCATGCAATTGATAGCTGCAACGGTAAATCTCATGGAAAGTCCTGAATTAATTAATGCCAAACATGATGCATTAATAGCACAAGCTAGTAACTGAAATTGTTTTTTTTTTTGCTTAGAATTTAATTTTTATTTACAAGATTTATTTTTAATGATGCAGAAAACTCTTACCCCACCAGAATCTTGCATCTCTTGTAGGTTAATGCATACCATAGTATTGGGATGAAATGAAACTAATATAGCCGATTCACATGTCTCTTTTATATATGTTTCAATTAATCTGTCATCCACTTCTAAAATAGTTGATAAACAATTATTAGATCCAAAACAATGCTGAAACATAACAGTTCATAACCATTTCAATTTTGACAAACTTACTCGCTGGTCCTTTAAGAGGTGTATATGTAACTTCAATAGAAACTCTGTCATATGCCATTTTTTGGCTTTTTGCTTCCAAGGGTCCATTTACACCCGCGATAATTGTGGTGTCACCTATATGCGTAAGAGAATAATTGAAATATTGTATTAACAATTAATATTATTCATAATGTTTATTATATATACCTTGCATAAACATTGTAGAACCATCAGATCTTGATAATAAATTAATTTCGCAATTTATTGGTCGTAATATACAATTAATTTCACTAGCTTCTTTAGTCATTTTATCTTGCAATAAAATTTCTGCTCATATAATAATGGACAACACTATGTAAGAGGTTAAAATAGTTAGAAGTACAAGCTGCCATGGACGAGATACTATTAAAGATGGTCCACAGTCGGTCTTAAGCAAATTTTCGTGACTATAACAATGGAGCCACGTGAGCCCGGGGATAATTGAAGAATGATGACATTATCGACAATCAATAAAAATTTGCGATTATTAAACATAAATATATAATCGATAACACTACTAAATTCATAATTTTTTTATTGTAGAAATGACCGTTGTATAAATAAGTACGCATACTTTTAACATTATAATATCTTATGTATTGCCGAAAATTTACAATTTTTGCTCTGCAGTTATCATCTCTATTGATAATCAAACTCGAATGATAACACTAAAATCACATTAAAATCACAGTTTTGAAAAATAGAATATTATTATAATTGTTTTGAACGTACATATATGAATATAAAATTAATAAATCATAAAATACTAATTTCCACTTTTTATACTAGTATATATAGTCACTTCCGTTCCCTTGTTTAAAATCAAACATTCCCTCCTGTTTCTCTTTACTCTTTACATAAACCAATCACGAAAACTGTATTAGCAATTTTAAGCCATTGCTTGAGATTGTTTTGAGAAATTAAAAATTAAGAACAGACTATAGATTCCGGCCTAATAGTATCTCGTCAGTGAACTGAACACGTGGCGTCATCAACGTATAAAATAGTATACTCTCAATGCGATGCGTGAGTATATTCGATAAAGAAGATATCTTTTTAAGATAACATAGCAAATACATGATTTTGTATATTTCTTCAAATTATTTCTTCAATTATTTTTTAATCTTTATTGTAATAATATTACATTTATATTTTATTATTTTCTTAGGGAAATATTACACACTTAATAGTGTGTGTATATGTGTGTGTGTGTGTGTGTGCGTATATATATATTCAAGTTTCAAGAATGCTTTGATGATAAAATTACATTATTGATACATATAAGACCATATAATATCATTCTCCTAGTACACTTTTTAAGAAAAATACTGATGTAACATATATTATAATGCGAAAATTTAGAAATATAATATATCATGTGTGATAACATTCCAAGAAAATTATTCATCATCTTCCTTCATTATTTACTTCTTTTTTCTTTTCTTCTTCTTCTTCTTCTTCTTCTTCTTCTTCTTCTTCTTCTTCTTCTTCTTC